GGTAAATGTTTTTTTGCAACTTATATAATACAACATTGAACATATATACAACTTATATGATAAGCATTGAGTGATTTACAGAGAACATAAGACTGTTATATACCAGTGATTTGAAATGGAGAGGGCTACCATATCAGCAAGAAGACACTTTAGGGATTCCTTCTCAGAAGGCATATCCATCAAAAAGGGCCTCTCTGGCCCCCTCTACACTGCCATATAAAATCCAGATTATCTGCTTTGAACTGGTTTATATGGCAGTGTAGACTCGTATAATCCAATTCAAAGCAGATAATGTGGATTATCTGCTATGATAATCTGGATTATATTGCAGTGTAGAAGGTGACTCAGAAGGTCAGAACGTTATCATGGAAATGTTCTAAAAGAGGCTTCCTCAGAGGGCTAAGCAAAGATGATGGAAGGAGATGGGCGGCAACCCCTCCAGCCCCGCTTTCATGTTGGGGGGGGGGCGCAATTGTGAGAAAGGAAAAGTGGCCACAGCTTCTGAGGAGAAGGAAGAAGCCATACCCGAGCAACACCAGGTATATATCCTACTACTACTATAAATCATAGGATGATTTTCTTCTAAAATTCTTTGGCATGTTATTTTATCCAAGGGTTATTTGTAGCATGATCCCTCATACCCCTTCTTTTCATACACCCAGCTTGGACTTCTGACATCTCTCATGCCATATATGGTAAAAAATTTAAGCACATTCCATTTCCTGATTTTAAAATGTGATAATAGTAGTTCAGGTATATTTGTATCTACATTTATTTATTTGGCTACAGTTTTGTCAGTAGGATGTTTTAAATTCACCTTTAAAGTGCATTTGGACAAATTAGGTTCTAACACTTGGTGGTTTGTAAGGTTTTTTACAATCTTCCCTATCAGTATGGAAGACGAAGCTTAAAATTGCCCATCTCATGTTACACAACCAACTAGTAGATGTCTGTCAAGGATGATAAGAGCTTATCATTATTGCTCAATAAGGTGTTTAGCTTTAATCTTAAAGCATATGTCAGTGTGAGTTATGAGAGTTTAGGCAGTGTCCAAAAAGGTTAGAGAATTACGGAGACTGAGTAAAATGTGTGAAAATGAGGAATTTGTGGAGTTGACTATAAACCGTTTATTCCAGCACAGGAAGTTTACATCCTGAATCATTCGTGGCCCAAGAACAAACATATTGTCATGCTAAATTTTTATCTCCTTCTTTCAAACTTACCCTTTAATTGTTTGATTTTAAGCTGGGAAGGATAAGGGGAAAATTGTAGCTCAGGGGCTGCATGTGGTCCCCCCAAACTGAATTCGAATGGAAAAGGATTAAGCAGTTTTCATAGAAGCCTCCAGTGATTCACTTTTAAAAGAGTGCAGGAATTTTTCAGGCTTTTAGGGAGTAATTGTTGGCAGTCCAAATAGTTCCAAGAAAGCCCAAGGGACAAAAAGTGGCTCTCAGTCCTGTCAAAATTGCCCACCCTAACTTAGACAATGTAACAAGTAACTGTAGCACGTTTTAATTTAAGTATTTTTGATTCCTTCAGTTAATACATTGTTTGCAGTTTGAAACCTCAACTCCAGAGGTAGGTAACTGTAGCAAGATCGGAAACTTGTTTCTGTTCTGGTAACCTGTTTAAGAGGCTCACTATGTGTTTTGTTCTTACTTTTTACTGTTTTATTTATTTATTATTAAGAAGTATAATGAAAATAAGTATACTACACTGAAAGTAAATTTTCTCTCCTACTCTCCTCATCCTCAGCTGAAGGGACAGAGACAATGTTGCCAACAGCAGCTGATAAAGAGTTTCATACAACAAAGCTCCCTCAGTTGCAAGCCTGCTGGTTTGGTGGTTTTCTTTGTTTTCCAAACCATGCAGGTTAGAATTTACGGTCAGCCCTCTGTATCCACAGAGTCAACCATCTGTGAAAATATTTTTTTTAAAAAACTCCCAAAAGCATACCCTAACCTGTCGGCAATTCTAAATATTTTCTAGTTTTGGACCTAGCTGTTGATTCTTGAATACAGAGATTTTTCAAAGCATTCTTCAGAAGAATTCCAAATGTAGAACTTGGATAATATTATATTCTCAGTTTCTCTGATGCCAGTGTGTGTAGGGGAGGGATGTACTTAAAACTGGAAGGTTTCTTTTTCAAAAGAAAGGAAACATTGAATACACAATATAGCAAAATCCACAAAAATACATTGCACTGATATCTTTATTAGGCCAAAAAAAAGGTGCAAAATAACATTATACAAACCTTTGACGCTCATAGACCAAAGTCATTTTAGGGGAAGAAATGTGCTGAAAGATCACAGTTGGCTCTCTTGAAATAGTCTTATAAGAGTATGGTAGAGGGAGGTTTAGTGTAAGTAAAGCCTAGTGGCATTTGAAATACAAAAGCAATGCAAAGCAGTCAAATATTATTCTCCAGTATTAGAAAAAACACAAAAAAAGTTGAGTGTAACCTGTATTTGACCTGTGCAAAGCTACAGGCATATACAGTGAACCTCTTGAGAAGCCTCTGCATTTGGACATTTGGAGACAAATTTAGGTGTTGTAAAAGATAAAATGTGCCAGTGATGGCTGATAATAAAAATTTGATCTCCTTATTGTGATTCAACCAGCAGGACAATTTGTAGGGCATTCCATATGGATTTACATATATATGGACCACTTGGGTGTAATAGCTGTAAGCTTTCAATGGGACTAAGATTTTTTCTCCTTCCCTACATTCATTTTCACACTCTCAGTAAGTCTGCTTTTAATTCATAAAAGAGCAATAAAAAGACAAGTAATAAAAATTCCGCCCCCATTAGTAACTAAAAAGTAACTTCTCTTGAGAACCATCTGTTACTGACACATGCAAAACTTTATTGACAGAGAACAATATATTTCTGAAGCCATCCCTGTACTGTTGCATTTGGAAACATCTTTAGGTGCGATATAGGCAAAATTTGCCAAAATGTAATCCATGGAAAGACATGTATCTTTGTTGGAAGTAGAAAACATCAAAGCATTAAATCCTAATCCTTTAGTTCCCTATCATTTGTGATTCCACTGTTGTGGCTAAATTTGGTATATTCAAATTTAGATAAAATATTCTGGAGTAGCTGTGTTGGCCATGTAGCAAAATATGACAAAATCAAAAATCCACAAGCAGCAATACCGTTATTGGACCACCTTCAAAGCATAAAATAGATATCTTAGTTTTTGCAGCTCCACTGGCTTCTTCGGGGAAAAAATGCTAAAAATCAAACAGGTGAAAAGTGGTAATGATAATGTGCCACACTTGCATGTTGTGGTTTTTGCAACAAAGCATGGTCTGTTTTTTATGTAAAATGCTGTAGAAACTGGATACATGTTTGATGTCAAAAGCCAAGTATAATTTTTCAAAAAAAATTAATGGAAGTCATGTCTCAATAGCTTATTAGAATTGTAGAAAACACACAGAAAAGGGCAATCTTCATTATGTGGGAAGATTAAAACATTTGGGAATATTTCACTTAGAAAAAAGATCACTAAAAAGAGATCTGATAGAGGTGTATACAGCAATCTGTGATGTGGAGAAAAAAGAATAGGGAAGAGGTGTTGTCTCTTTCTTAAAAGAATAGAAAGTGGGACTATGCATTAAAGCTGAATAGTGTGCAATTCAGAACATTTGAAAGGAAGTATTTCTTTACAAAAGGCAAAATTCAACTGTTCTTTACAAAGTGCAAAATTCAACAGAAATTCTCTCCCACAAGATTTTTTAAGAGCTGCCAACTTGGGCAGCTTTAAGTGGGGACTAGCTAAATTAATAAAGAATACAGCCCATGGTTGCTGCTCATTAGGTTGGCTATGTGTCACTTCCAGTCTCTGGTAGTATTGTTTGATCAGCACTATGTGACAAAAGCTGATGTTGTACTCATGTAGGATTTCCATAGCTGTTTATTTGATTATTGTGTGAACTGAATGTGGAATAGATACACCTTTTTGTCTGATCTAGCATGGTTCTTTCTATGTTCTTGGAAGCTTACATCATATTTCCATGTACAAAAACAGTGGTCAATTTCTAGGCAGATAAATTCCTAACTTCAGTGTTCAAATGGTGTAAAACAGATCTTTTTCATTCAGTTTTTCTATCTGGACAATTTAGAACTTTCACTAAAGGCTCTATACAAGATCTATTCCATATTTCATATCAGGCGAATGCCACTATGATTGTACAGGCGTTTGCCATACTATGAATCCAGAGCTAGCATGGTGTAATGGTTTGAGTGTTGGACTGTGACTGAACACCGGGGTTCAGATCCCCAGATGGCCATGGAAATTCACAGGGTGACATCGAGCAAGTCATTTTCTCTCAACCTCAGAGAAAGACAAAACCAAACCTCTCTTAAACAAATTTTGCAAAGAAAGCCCCATGATAGGTTTTCCTTCAGGTCGCCTAGTGATCCCATTATTTTCATAGGGCTTTTGTTAGCAAAGAATGCTCAGAGGTGCCTTTACCAGCTCCTCCCTTTGAAATAACCTATAGCACCGTCTTTCAGTGGTCTCCCATCCAAGTACTAACCAGGGCTGACCATAATTAGCTTCTCGTATCAGATGGCATCTGTTAGTTTTTGGACAGTTAGGTGAGGCTCACCTTAGGGTCAACATAAATGACTTGAGTGCAGACAACAACAAAACTATGGATTCATGTTTTAAGATTCATGTAAAATAAAGTTCAAAGTTTTTCATATGAAGAGGTAAAGAATCCAGAGCCACTCTAATAATTCCATGTGTCAACTTCTTCTAACATTCTTCCTATTTTCCTTTATGCAGTTAAGAGCTTACACTTAGAAAAACGTAGTATGGAGGAGAGATATGACCATGGATGTGTACATTTGTTAAACTACAAATGACAACCTCCTGGTTACAATTAGCAGTGAAAAAGAGGTGATAGATTGTGTTAGGGAAAGGACCTTATAGGGCAGCATGTATTTTGATCCATCAATGCTGACCTCCAATGCTTGCCTTCGCAGATGGAACATGAGGATTTTGTAATGGAAGGGCATGGCAAGACTCCACCTCCTGGTGAAGAAAACAAACAGTGAGTCATGTTTATTTAAAAAGGGCCTTAATAAAATAAATGATATAAAGCACACATACATAAAGTGGTCTGAAGCACTTTTAAAGACATCTACCATTGTAATAGTAAAATCGAAATTGCCAGAAAAACCATAATCTTTAATATGCTTATATGGAAATAAGGCCCATTGAATACAATGGGCCTTACTTCTGAGTAAGTGTGAATGGGACAAGAGTGTAAGTAGTACAGTAGACTCTTTATGTTAGCCTATATCAGTGGTTCTAAATTTGAGGGTCCCCAGGTGTTTTGGCCTACAACTCCCAGAAATCCCAGCCAGTTTACAAGCTGTTAGGATTTCTGGGAGTTGAAGGCCAAAATATCTGGGGACCCATAGGTTGAGAATCTCTGGCCTATATGCTGAATCATTGCCAAATATGACTTGTGTAAATCCCATTACTTCAATATGTCTATGCTAGTTAGGCCAGCAACTGGATTTAGACTATTTAAAATTATAAATAAATAATAATTTTGATGGCTATAATCTAGAAACTTGCTATGATAACAGAGGTCTCTATCACATTAAAAACTAGAGGATAAGTAAATTAGGGCTTGCCTGCTAATGTACATAGTTAAATAGATTCTTCTGGTATGTGAGCCTTATGTTTAAAGTCCTGCAGGTCGAGTACAAATGTACTTGAATTGGTACTGTTGATCTCAGTTATAGCTGCAGCTTAATTATAATGTTTTTCTCCGGCATATTATATTCTAATTAGTAAATGCAAATATTTTGCTGATAAACTTTATGTGAACCTGAGTTTGTTATCTCTATTTCACATAAGCTTTTAAAATATGTAATCCAGTATTGTGTAAATTATTTACCAGTGTAGTCAAGCTTGAGTCTTCAGAAGACATTTCATAGAATCAAAGAGTTGGAAGAGACCTCATGGGCCATCCAGTCCAACCCCCTGCCAAGAAGCAGGAATATTGCATTTAAATCACCCCTGACAGATGGCCATCCAGCCCCTTTTTTAAAGTTTTGTGAAACAAGTTGTAAAGTTTTGTGAAACAAGTTGTAAAAATGTAAAGTAATGCATGTAAATGTAAAGTACTGCCTTAAAATTGGATTTTTGAGATATACAAAATTTAGATTGGGGTAGGGTACCCTAGGGCATGGGCCAAAAGGCCTTTGGAAGTATTTATGGGTTCAGGAATGGAGAATCAAACCACTATATTAGTGTATAATATGAGGGAGAAATATTGACATGCTGGGAAAATGTTTTAAAACAAAGGAAGAAACTTTTAAGGGGCTTTAGGGACTGCAAAATGTGGGAGTTACATGCTGCCTACAAGCTACACTTCCCAGTCTTTAGTTTATATGGTAATACAGTTTTTTTTGTTATTTTCTTTTATCATTTATAGTAGACTACCATATTTTGTTTTATGGTTCAAACTAGTGTTGGAATACAGTGTTCTTTGTGGTTTCTATGGCTGACGGAAATGGGTTATTTGCACCTGTGCAGCACTGAATTTGTCATCGTCATCAGTAGTAGTACCTTATTGATCTCTCAGGCTGAGACCCAAAGCAGCTCATAAACCTAAAAACAATACAGTTTAAAACATACAAGTATAAATCTTAAAATAGAGTTAAACATAGAATTATTGTGCTGTTATGCAAGCCTTTTGACAATAGCTCTGCCCATGCTCAGCAGCAGTATATAGTGCATTTTCTACCTAAAATCTTCAATTTATTTTCCTCTGTCATAGCAGAAACGTCCAAGAAGCAATTCTTGTGAACTGTTTCTCAGACCTCAGTTTTCTCTGGTGTTTTTTCTTATTTTGGTTTCATTTTCAACTACTTTATCCACTTATCCTATGATTTGAATCTGCAGTGGTGTTTGACTTCAACTTTGCGCTTTTCTTGACTTTTCTTCAGTAACTCTTTATTTTTCTTTCCAATCTTTGGGATGACTTAGCCTGACTTTTGTCTTCAGTGCTTTCTACCTCATTTAAAAGGTGTACCACCCACAGCAGCAAGATTCCTAGCCACAATTGCTATTCTTATAACATGAATTCATGTGTCCATTATAAGGCCATCAAATCCCAGACTGGAAACTCGTATGCATTGATTCTAGACCTATTAGGTTCATTTCTTTGACTTGCTACAAAGAATCCGAGATGAATTAGAGATATTCAAAAAGGAAGATAACATGCTGGACTTCAGTGATCAATACCGTATGTCTGCCCATGGTTTCAGCAGCTTCTCCTAACTATGATCTTGCAAGTTTCCATGTCCTTCTGTGGGTGCCTGTTACTTTTGGATGCTCTCTTGATTTTATGTCCTCGGATCCCATCGCAAAAGGAATAAGGAGAAGCACAATAAGAGGGGGAAAGGCCAAACATCATAATGAGTCAGTATCTTCCCTTATTGCTTCTTGGATCAGGCCACTCATACCCCGATGGGCTACTGTAATTGCATTCTCCAGTTTTGGGACCAATTCTGGGTTCAATTCAGACCTAGTGTAGCCTCAGCTATCTTGGAAACCCTTTACTGCAGTGGTTCTCAACCTGTGGGTCCCCAGATGTTTTGGCCTTCAATTCCCAGATATCCTAACAGCTGGTAAACTGGCTGGGATTTCTGGGAGTTGTAGGCCAAAACACCAGGGGACCCACAGGTTGAGAACCACTGCTTTAACGTATGGCTTATTGCAACATTCATTTGCCTACTGGAAACTGGTATTCCTGATATAAATTATTTCTGCCAGGAAAGCAGAGAAGATATGTATTATCTGTTTTGACCAGTCCTATTTAAGTTTCCCACAAAACAAGTTCATCCTCAGGCCATAAATGTTCTTATTCTCTAAAATAGTATCTTAGTTTCACTTAACCAGGACATTTGTACTGCCTGCAAAATCTAACTATGGACTTAGACAGAATTTTGCATTTAGTTCATGGAGGAGCCAGAGATTTTTAGTCTGTTATTTCTCCTTGAAACTTGGACTACTGGTATCAGCACAGTGTCTTTCAAAGTCGGCTATTGTGACAATCCACTTCGTTATGAATTGGCTAATAAGATACTGTTCTGCTCACATACAGAAACATTTTACATGGGCAGTTGCTTCATCCTCTTAATTTCTGAGTGGCATTCCTTCGCATATTGTTTGCAGAGCAGCTTTGTTGTCCCATCCTTAAACTTTCATTTTCCATTAGACTGGATGCTCAATCCAGGACTTGATGCTACCTTTGTGAAAGCAGTGCTGTTTTCATGTTTGAAATAAAGTTCATAATGAATAACTAGGAGACATGTGTTATTTTTCTGTGGCATGACACTCCCATCTCCTGTGGTTAGTAGCTTGCTAGTTTTCTTTTGTGTGAGTCATAGACATCATGAAGAAACAAGGACAGGTTGCATATCTGCAACTGTAGTTCTTTAAAAGGTTCATTTATAAACTTGCAATCATGTCCATCTTCCTGTAATTCTCTCTTGCCTTTCTTAGCTCTTTGAGGCTACTGTTGTGGCATTCATGGAACTGAGGATTTAGGTGGACATAGTGCTACATAGTGTCATTGAAGGTAAGCAGATTTTTACCAAAAAGCTTGCATAACAATTTTAGAAGGTTCTCAGCAGTATATTGCAGAGATGCATATAACCTATTTGTGTGAGTTCACGGATGACCACTTGAAAAACTACGTATGCAGTGTGTTTGCATCTTTTCCAAATTTTCTCTTGGTTGTCCATTTTTTCCTCCCTTTCCCTATGGTGTGTGACTTTTTAACTCATAGCTGATGTTTTTTCTCCTTTAACTTTTGCTTTCTGCAAAAGGTAAACAGAAAGAATATACTATAGAGTATAGACTTAAACAAAATATGCTGTTCTCCTTCACTTCCCATTGATGAAGACTGCTAGTTGAAATGCATCTAGGTTCTTTTTAAATGAATTGGACAATATCCTGAGTCGTATTTTTCCTTCAGCAAATCATTCATACCCTGTACCTTCTCTCTTACTTCTGTTTACACACACACACACTTTATATTCATATCCTAAGTCTCATTTTTACTTTTCATTATTTCACTGAGTTAGGTCTTGTCCTTTCCTTTTATCCTTCTTTGGGTCCTAGTTCTCATCCTGTTCTCTTCTCTGTTTTCTCCCAGGTACCTGCTTCTATTCTTACTTAAAATTTTCTTTTTAATTTATCTCATTCATAATCTTCGTTCATTCAAGACATGCACCCTTAGATTAATTTCTTCTCCAGTATCTTTCACTTGCACTTTACTGTGACTGATTTCATACAGTTATATGTGTTTTAGCTTCCATTACTGAAGCTACATGCTTTTTGGTACTCTGTTGCTGATTGTTTGCCTTTGGTTTATGAATATTCAAGTGCATAACCATTTTTGAAAAAGAGGGAGGTTTCAGATAGAACTTCATTTTATTTAATTTATATTCTCCTTTTCTCCTAATACTATAACTCACAACATGCTTAGAAAGGGAATACAATCAAAATGTGTTAAGTTATAATATTAAAATGCAATTAATACTATTTAACACATTAAAACAACAACCAGGTTTCAAACATTTAAAAAGGAAATCAACAACAAAAATACAGTAGCCCTGTTAAAAAACCTCTTCCTCAGCAATTAGTCAGTAATCAAAATTATGTCTGATTAAAAGATTTTTTTGTTTCCTAGGAAGAGGAATGGCAAGCAAATCAGTCTGATTCTAATTTGGGAGAGAGTTCCACAATCCTGAGAGCAGAAAGCAAATAACATATGCATGAAAATGCTATAGCAGGTGTTGAGATTATTCATTAATGATAGAAATAACATTTGGATTGGTGTTGTATCAGGTTGATTTAAGGTGAAGTTCTGAGTACTTTTCAGTAAAATATGGGCTCTGCTCTTTAATTTACTAAACTGAGAATGAATCCCAGAAGTCATTATTTTGTATCATAAAATATGATCAGTCTGAACATAGGAATCTTTACAAAAAGGATCCTGCCCCATGAAATAGACTTTGTAGTAAA